TTTTAAATCACATGAACATGTAAATAACAAAAGAACTCATTGTTTTGCTGGCAATTTAAAACCTAGTAAGTATGAAATTAAATGTCAGTGGAAATAAATGGTTTCACAGTATCTAGGTTGCTTACTGCTTTGCTATGCGCATCTGCGCATCTTTATGAATTTAGAACAAGTTCAGTCAAACCCACCTCGAACTCGTTGAACATTAGTAGAAAATCATGATACAATTATTTTTCAATTTACTAGTATTTCATTTAATCTTTTAAATTGCTATATGATGAATAGCAAAGTTATCCAAACAAATTTCATTTACTTATGCGGTCTGAAATGTCAGCACAGACAGTATAGTAGGGAAGACGTGCAACTGTGCAAGCATCAAAGTGAAATGCCGCATGGCCAACAAAATCTGGGCTGGAGTATTATAATGAGCAAATAAAAAAAGACGTTATATTTACAGTACTGTCTTTAAATTGTGGTGTCATGGTTTTCATATCTTTCCATAAATCAATTGTTTTCTTATCGGAACATGCATGTTTCAAACACATAATTGTTATCAGTTGTTCTTGTGACAGTTGTAAACATATATACCGTTGTATATATAAATATACTCGTAATTGCTTAAAATCGAAAGTTATATTCATATGACAATGATGTTTCGCAGAATGTGGTGGTTACTAAATGTTTTTGACTAAATACTTATTTATATTTTTGTTTGCACAATGAACAAATATTCTAATTTTATTTTTCACCGACTATGCTCGTTTTTTGTTGTTTTCTGCTCCACAGTTTTTGGAAATGGGCTTTTTATCCGCTCGTTTTCACATCTGTTGACATCTCTTGACGACATGTTCACACTTTTTCAACCTGAATGTATGTCTAAACTTGTACCGTACCCTGTTTTTGACAAAGTACTTGAATATTTTTGTTTGCAATATGCATGAATCATCTTGTTCACTTATGTCAGGCAAATTATCTACATACACAAACTGCCATAATGTAATAATTTTGCGAGAGTTCATGATTGCTGCCTAAAATCATGCATTATACTAGAACTCAAAATCAACATTTAGTTTATGTTAAAGTTTAAGTCTAAAGTGACTGTTTTCCAGCCCACCCTGTTACAATAGAATCACTGGAGTTACTCATCCTTCTAGCTATATTGTCTATGGTTCAAAAGGCGGTAGTCGTCGCGCCACGCATGTGTGACATTTGTGTTAATAAACATTGATTTTCCCACAATCCAATGTGCTCTTCTAATGGAAATCACAAGTATGAGGTTTGACCTGGATGCGACTTGAACTAATTACCGCTGATGACTCCTTTGATACCTTCCAGTCACCTAAACAATACCTAATTAAAGCTTGGTAACGTCTCAGTTTGTACTCGTTGATCTGTGCAACAGCCAAATTCGCTATCTTTGTTTACATGAGACCCATATATCTCGCACATGCATGGCGCGACGAGTACCGCGCTTCAACCTAATTAGTTCTAATCACGTAACCATCTCAAGAGGTGGCTGGCAAACCATTCAGCAACTTAGCTCGTGTATGTTACCCTTTTTGGTGTCCAGTAATGACAGTAACAATTAGCTGATCTGCAGTCAATGATGATATTGCATGTTTATTTCAAATCTAGGAACGCTTTGTTGTGGTGAGAGAACCAACCGGTGTTTTAAGACATGCTGATTGGGATGAAAGAGCCAGGATGCTGCAAATTTATTTTCCAAGAGATGGTAGAAAAATAGAACCACCAGAAATATTTGAAGATGAAAACATGGAAGTAAGTTTTGACTGAGTTTGTAATTATAAAAAAACATGTACATACAATGTCCTCTCTCTTACCATATATAGCAATACACTCTTCACTCTTGTCATATATGGCAATATACTGTCCTTAATTGTACCATATTTGGATTTACACTGTCTTCACTATGACTATATATGGCAATATACTGTCATCACTATCACCATATATGGCAATGTACTGTCCTTACTTTTACTATATTTGGATTTACACTGTCTTCACTTTCACTATATATGGCAATATACTGTCTTCACTATCACCATATATGGCAATATACTGTCTTCACTATCACCATATATGGCAATATACTGTCTTCACTATCACCATATATGGCAATATTTTGTCCTTTCACCATATTTGGATTTACACTGTCTTCACTATCACCGTACATGGCAATATACTGTCTTCACTATCACCAT